GTAACAAGCTCCCAGAGCAAACATCACACATCTAGATCCGTGGTGCTTCGAGCTTCATTGTTTATCGCTCCCCTCTGATTGCTTGCAGATGAGAATGATGCAGAACGTGGCCTGAACCAAACAATGGTGCTGAACAATGTTCTGGAAAGAAATGCTGCCGCCGAAAAGGCGCTAAATAAATAACGAAGGAGAAGGGAGAGTGGGGGGAGAGAGCGGCAGGGATCCCGTTTCGCCATTGTCTGGGTTTTGACTTCAACTGGGGGAGTATAGGTCTGAGGACCACCCCCTACCCCCAACCCCCAACCCCCTCCCTAAGTCCGCACATCACGCTTGATGTGCGGAAAGACGGCACTGGGGGAGTTTTAAAGAACTTTAGCGCCGTGGTCTGGTTTCAGGGACCTGACTTATTGTTCCTCTCCTCCCTCCCCTGCGACCCCCTCGACTGCATCCTCCTCCCACACACAGCCACAATTTCCAAAGAATCCGAAATCCTGCAAAAAGGGGAAGAAGGGCAGGCTCCCCTCCCCTCGCCTCCACACCCTCAGGTCTCTCCCCTGGGGTTAGCAGTCTCCATCCTTTGCATCATCCTTCCGAGCCTCCCACCCCACTCCGAATTCCTCATGCACCCCAGTTCTTTCTCAGCGAATGCGGAGCTGATGTCTCCGTGCTGGCATCCCTGTGTCTGTAGCCGTGCCGCCCCCCGCCCCCACCCCCGAGGGCGACTGGGGTCTGTGCTGCACTGGGCTCCCCGGGCCTCCAGCCGCTCCCGCCTCGAGGGCCAGCCCAGCCCAGGGGGGGTCCCAGCACCACGGGACCCTCTGTCCTGACCGCCCTCCACGGGGAAGGACTGGGCACCTAGTGGGTACGGCGGCGACCGCTGTCCATTCTCTTCCCATGACCCATCATCCCCGGACACCCAGAGATGGTTTATGAGCAGCATTCCCATTGTTCCGCTGCGAAAACTGAGGCTTCGAGCCATGGGCTCGGAGACACCCCCCCGCCCCCCGTGACAGCATTTCTTTGGGGCCACCGAAGAGTCCGGATGGAAAGTCGGACGAGAAGCGACCCCTGGATGCTGGCGCGCCGGTGCGCAGCGCCCCCAGAATGAGAGGCGCGGTCTAGGAGGGTCCCCTAGGGAGCTGAGCCCCTGCGGGCGGAGAAGTGGGGGTGGGGTGGAGTAGGGGTGCTCACAAGGACGGGCCTCAGGGCAGCAGTGAGAGCGGTGAGGCTCCAGACCAGCCCGGGGACCCTCAGCCTGGCACCCGGGTACCTGGAGAGAGAGTCCCGCTCTTTGCCCTCGGGCTGTTGTTGATTAACCACGTGGCCGATAGGCGGCTATTAGGCACCTCGCTCCCGGGTCAGCCCCGAGGACGGAGCTGGAGAAGACCGCGCGGCGCTCCCGGGGACCATGGAAGGGCCCGTGAGAGTGAAAACCTGGGTGGAAGGAAACCGCACCTCCTTCCTGCCCCCAGTCTGCAACAAGCTCCTGTAAGTTCCAGCCTCCCCTCCGCCCCACGCCCTCTCCTCGACTCCAATTTCCACCGCCACCACCACCCCCCAGCCCGCCCCCCGTTCCACCTCCTTTCTCTGCGCCCTTACCCCTCAACCTCCAGCCCTGCGTCCCTTATCCAGAGCCCACAGGAGGGGGGTGGGCTGTCAATCTCAGGGGGGCCTTCATGGGGGAGGGAGGACCAGCGGTTCCGGGCTCCACCGCCCTACATCTGTTCCTTTTTCTGGGGGCTGCATGGTAGTGCCGAGAACTGTGACCTTGTTTTCTGAGGGTGGCTGGACGGATCCTACCTACTCCCTGCCAGTGTCCCCAGCGCTTTGGGGAAATGGCAACGTTTGGGGAGAGTGGTTTTCTGAGCCAAACCAAACCCGTGGCCAGTGAGTCAGCTCAGGCCCATGGCAGACCCGAGAACTGCCCCCAGGGGTTCCAAGGCTGAAAATCTTTAAAGGAGCAGACAGCTTCCTCTTCCTGATGTAGGGCCGCTGGTCAGTTCAAACTGCCAACTTTTTGGCTAGCAGCCTAGGTCTTTCTTAAGTGCTAAGGCCCCAGAGCTTCTGACATAGGACCGAAATCACAGTCCAGCCCAGGTCTGCAGGCAAAGGGGGGAGTCCAAGTCCCAGCTGCGTTGGCATACACACTCATACCAGGCCTTCCCAAAGCAACTTGTGCCTGCAGCGCCCACGGGGCTGTTCATCTTACTCGGGCACACCTCTCAGGCCCTCCAGTGTACCCCTCCTCCTCCCTCCCCTTCCCACAGCTCTGTGATGGGGCCTAGTGAGCTCATGTTTCCTGGATCTGCAGGACAGCTCCTACAGGTGGGCCCTAGTCCAGACAGTCACAAACCCACCCCATCTCCAGGCTAGACTACACCCACGCTGAATGCACTCATTTGGTTCTCCCAGGTGACCCAAGAGGTCGGCCTTTAATCAGTAACTGGCCCGGTCACAGGGCCAGGATGAGGCAAGTCCACCAAACTGTTTGACTCCAAAGTCTACGCTTGGGGTCACTGTGCAAGGCTAGGACCCTGGCTGGTTGTCAACTGCTCCCCAAATGCCCCATCCTGTCTGTCACAGGTATCGTTTTGTGATTGGCTTTGTCTCCTGCCTTTGTCATGAACACCCCTCTTCACAGTCCCTCTCCCCCACCTTGGGCCCATCTCATGTCTACCTGTTCTCCTCTACCACCTCATTTCCCACCGAGGCAGTGCTGGATGTCTCTGCCCCAGCATCTATAATCATACAGCCAGAGGGCATCAACACATGTTCACTGAGCACCACTGAGGGTGGGGCACTATTGTGGACACTGGATATAGCAAGGGACAACGTACAACAATCCCTACCTCAAGGAGCTGCTGTTCTCCTGGAAGCAGGCAGCTAATCAATAGCCACCTACAAGGCAGTTGGACACCAGGCTGCATGGACAGGGCAGGGCCACAGGCCTGGTGGGATCACAGACATGGTGGGACCATAGGCACGAGGATCACAGACATGGTGGGATCACAGACATGAGGATCACAGACATGATGGGATCACAGACATGGTGGGATTACAGACACGAGGATCACAGACATGGTGGGACCATAGATATGAAGATCACAGACATGAGGATCACAGACATGGTGGGACCATAGACATGAGGATCACAGACATGGTGGGACCATAGACATGAGGATCACAGACATGATGGGATCACAGACATGGTGGGATCACAGACATGAGGATCACAGACATGGTGGGATCATAGATATGAAGATCACAGACATGAGGATCACAGACATGGTGGGACCATAGACATGAGGATCACAGACATGGTGGGATCACAGACATGATGGGATCACAGACATGGTGGGATCATAGACATGAGGATCACAGACATGATGGGATCACAGACATGAGGATCACAGACATGGTGGGACCATAGAGATGAGGATCACAGACATGGTGGGATCACAGACATGAGGATCACAGACATGGTGGGACCATAGACATGAGGATCACAGACATGGTGGGATCACAGA